AATTTGCTTCTTATAACAAATGGTCTAGATTCAATAGATTTTTTCTCACAGAATATTGGCATGCCTCGTGTATAGATAAACCCATCTTCACAATGTCAAGCTATTACGAACCTATAACCTTTTTTGTATCACAGAATGCAGCGATTTGATTGGATTGCACGACCTTAAACATTATGGCTTATTTTTACAGACATTCTATCGACAACTCCGATTGTCTGCATTCGATAACACATAATTAATCTGCATTTACAAATACAAACTTCCACAATACAAGAAAAGTGACTCTTGCAGTCAAGGTATCAGACAAAGTTCGTTATATCTTGACATTGTCAAGATGAAATAAACCTACCATCTCCATCAGTAGGTCCTCGTTTACATTGTAATCTCGGTCTTCTTTGCCTTATGAATTTTAATGTTTCATCCTCCATTTTAGCTTTCACTTTTCGTTGTAGCAATGTTCCCTGCGAAGGAAAAACGGAAATTTCAATCAAAACAGAAAGGATCAAAAACCTTACTTTTTCTGAAAAGCAATCAGTAACGGAAATCGTAGTGCAGCTACAATTTAATCTAGCTTAACTTATTAGAAAAACCACAAATAAATATGTTTTTTTTAAAGAATTTGTAAGGATGGAAAATCATATGAGAAAATTCATTTGATTTCAATATATGACAAAAATTTAATCCGTTTCTTAGAAACTTGAACTTCTTATAGTGAAGCGGATAGTGAGCATAATATTTCATTAGATGAGAAAAGCACCAATATTAGCATGAATGTTCCTTATGAAGTACTTGAATAAAAAATATCTGCTTGTTATGAAAAAGACCCAAGTTGTTTTTAAGCCGAATGCGCCATTGTACTTCAGTGGCAGTCATTATGAAAATGGCAAAAGTCGCGCTGGCCAGCTATGGTTTTTGCATCAGTACCGACATATTGTGAGCTAAATTTCTCACCAAGTGAGACTTGGGTGACCTTTTGCGTTTATCCGCTCCACTATTATAGTAATCACTGTAGTGGCCATTGCTAATAATTATATGTTTTTAAAATTTGTATAAGACATGGATATTTTGCTATAGTATAAGCTATATATCATCGAACATTAATAAATAGTGAGTAAAAAAGGAACGAGATTAAAACAAACAAAAGAGTAACTTTGTAGAAAATGAAATTGAAATAAAAGATAAATGAAAGAGTTTTGCAATAAGTATGATAGCTAGTTCTGTATTTACCACCATATTTTATCACAGTTGAACTATCCTATTCGAGAGATATGTTCACGATATTGTAGTTATGTGCCATTTTGGGATGTTCTCGACACATATGGATTATCATGTGTCAATGTTTTATTAGGTGAACATTTAATCATGCTCATTAATTACAAAAAAAAATATTTAATTTGACAAGTCTAATCCCAAAAAAAAAAAAAAAAGGAAAAAAAGAAAAAAGTTCCAAATATCTTTTGTGCTTTAGTGCAATGAATATAATGTAAGTGATATGGTCCCATGATGATTCTGAATCTAGTCCAGCAATCAGCGTATTAGCCACCAGGAGAATGTGCAAAATTTACTGTATTGATCTCCTTCAAAAGCAGTCGTTTGGGCAGACGATGTTTCAGAGCTTTAACCATGTTTGCCTAAGACGATCACCAAGATTTCGTACAAATATTCGAATTACGCTTTTACACGTTGACCAGATCACTTTATATGGCAAAACTTACCTCAGCCTAGGGAAATAAACAAAACAAAGATATATTCCTTCTGATTTAATATATATGGTACCACGAATAGTATGCAAAGGCACTGAAGAATGCTTGGTCAATGGAAAAATCAAATGCAACATGTAAGGTGTCTTCACAATGCCAAGCTATTACGAACTTCGTACCTGTATCTTTACTGCAATAGTCACCCTTCCAGAATGCAGCGATTTGATTGGAATGTCCGCCAGCGAATACAGACAATTAGAGCCCTCGACTGTAAACATGATGACTTTCTGTCGAGGCATTTGATTGGCTGTATACAATCTAAACACATAGCTTCATTACAAATTTTCATGAAATAAAGAAAGGTAACTATTGGAGTCAATGTAAGTACGAAGTTCGTATTAGCTTGCCTTTCGAAGAGAGTGTAGGGTTTAAGCTCAAGCTATGCTTGATAGGATAGTTGTAACAATACAAATAATGAACAAACTTATATAATAATCAAGCTGAACTTCTAATTTGAATACGTCATACTCAAATATTGGATAAAATGTGACAAGGCAACGTAAAAGCGACAATAAGCAGCGAATAAGTTCTAACTTGTAGTTAGTAATATAGTAGTCCATGCATGCATTCTAATGTGATTTCATGGTAAAAACCTTATACGCATCCCACAAACGGAGTTTTGAACATTAATGTATAAGCTCTACAAAAAGAATTAGCACATTGTCTATAGCTAAAACAGGAATGGGATAACGTTTTTATATACTAACCTTACGTAAGTTAAAAGTAACCTGGAATTGTTGTTTGAAAGTTTCTGAGAATTCGGGATATGTTTGAAGAATTTCTTTAAAATCGTGAAGTTCGATTTTATTGATATCACAGTAAGATAAAGCTCTAACGCTATACATTGACTTTCCTACGCCTATACTATTCTTTATATCTTCACCAAATATATCATCTTTACCTGGAAGGTGAGAAGACATTGTTGGCATCCAAACATGTGAACACTGAAGCAAAAATGAGTCGAACACAACAAGCATTTTTCAGGTCGACTTCCTTTACCAACCCTGGCCCCATACAGTGGATTTAAATAAATCAAAGAAACAATAGGAGAAATATTTATCATATCGTATTGCACTACCAAGAAGATTGAGTCAAATTCATTCAAAGACCTTTCCAAAATCATAAAATTTTTGCATCATCAACTCGTGATTTACATTCATATTTGAAGGAAAGTTAATGTTTAATGGAGAAGAGGGGGTTGCGATGTTCCTATTTTGCAAGACACTAAACTAAATCGAAACTCTTCGGGATCCTTCAGGTGCTGGTTAAAAGCAAACCAAATTCAATCAAAAGCCTTGGCAAAATCACCAAACGTTAACCACGCATTGGCCCTAGTCTGTCTATTCTAGAATACCATAGGTCTGCAACTAGACGCAAAGAATATTTATTTTCCTTTCATGTATATTTGTGCCTACGTACATACTTATATTGAATTCCGTTATATACGATCTAAGACGTTATTTACCTAATATAGCCATAACAATATCGTCTTTTAATATTTCTATAGAGCCACGAGCTATAAAATATATTGCTGTTATAATATCACCAGGGTGAACCAGTGTGTCTGCTGGTGGCGCGTGTGTTGACTTGAACTTTAGTGATAAAGCTCGCAAACAACCTGAAATAAATAAATATTCGGTAGATTTCAGATATAGATTACCACTTCCAAAGATCTTTCCAAAGGTTTTGTCGTATATGCAGGTTTTCAAGTAACATTTTAACTTACGACAATTGGAGAAACCTAAATAAATGCTAGGGACTTAACGACCAGTTTTTTTGTTTCAGTTTTCGCTTTACAGCAATGGGTGTATGGCTTGGGTGTTCATGCCCGCTTCACCGTGAGTAATATACAGGAAAACAAAGTTTGTACCCTACGTGCACGTTATGCAAGTCGATCCTCGTGAGAATTGTCAACGCTAAAATAAATAGAGACTGTGTCACAAAAGTTTGTAAATGCTGCTATTTGTGGGGTCGTAAGCTAGCAAATACAACCAATCAGAGGCCTCGATAGTAAGTCTGTAACACTAATGTCATAATGTTAACGACTTTCTGTCGAAGACTATGATTGGCTGTATTTGCTAGCGTACAAATCGCTACCTTCCATGATACAAGATAGTGGCTATTGCTTATAAGACGAAGTTCGTAATAGCTTGATATTGTGATGCTAAAGCACGAGTCAAAGGCTATTAATTATATTTGGAATTAATAATATTGCTGGATAAAGTTCTGACATTACCTGGACTGGCGCCTTTAAATGCTGAACAATTATTCAATAAATTACGGTTTAAATGAAGACATATATCAGCTTGTAAACAATCTGGAAAACCCTTTAATACCTAAAATATACAAAATTGACATATTATAGTAAAAGCAATACAGATGGGATATCTCGTCCGACAGGCGGATAGGGCAAGATTTGTCAGAATAGCAAAGGACCTTCTTGAGATCCTCATGTATAATTGGATATTTTACTAGGATAGTAAAGATTCGACATCGCTTCCTATAGACCTACAAGCTATCTTTTCATACCGCCATCTCGATAGACTTGAACCGCCTAGAATATGGAAGGTTGAAATTGAGGTGATGCATGCTCATGGACTCTCTTGATGGCCACTCTTCAATACTTCACTCGTCAACCAATGGCAGTCCCAGAAAGCAGAGAAGAATACGTCGTTTTTATACAAAACTAATTTGAATATTTCAAACGAAGACAAAGTTGACATAAGTTTAAATTAAAGACAAGCATTAGATAAAGGATTAGTGTGCCTTGGTATTAAATCTTTTTATCTAACAGAGTTGAAATCTGGGCAGAAAAGTAATTTCCTTTTGACAAGGAAATGTTGACGTAGACTGTATATTAATTGAGTCTTGGGGATGTAAAGACGTGTGATTTATTAACCAAACGATTTTCAGGATCGGTCGAGATAACTGACAGTTTTAATATTGACACAAAGCGGCTAACAACGGAAGCTCATGTCGTCTTTCTCTGACAAACTTCTGATTAGGCGCCAGACAATACTGCGATCTTCCTAAATAATTTTCACTGTTATAATTACACAAGATTACGTTTGTTTTCTCATAATAATTTCTTGGTTTATTGTTCTTCACCAATTTCCTTACAGCTTCTACGTTCTTAGATATATAAATATATAGAGTTATTCTTCCATACATTCTAATTCTAATGAAAAAGACCCCATGTTTAAGCCTACAACCTTCATCTAATCACATTTCCTACAAGCGACCAGGAAGTGTAGAAGCGTAATTCTTTTCCTATCCAACATGAAACACAACCAGCGTTCATAGATATGTATTTAATTTCCCGTTTATCCGAAAGATTCAAAAATGTGGCTCATTCTGCTGGATTGAGGCCTTACTTAATCTAATGTTGTATCTGTATCAATTGAATGGTTACCACCTTTTCAGACACATCTGTACTTGGGCTACATACATTTTCATACAGTACAGTTTCATTTTTACTCATTGCATCTTAAGTGTGACTTCTCTCCCCCATTGTATTGATGCTGTTATCACGCAAGATTGGTCTGAGACTCACAACCAGGAATTATGATGCTGTTATCACGTAAGTTTAGACTGAGTACGACTAACAACCAGGACAGTTGATTCTGTTATCACACAAGATTGAACGAGTTCGACTCACAACGATAGTTGACGCTGTCATCAATTCCACAGGATTTTAAAGGATAAACATTTAAAAAAGGTTCTTACGTTGTTCATATCAATACCATTAGTATACGTCCAGGAATGTTGAAAGGATTCTTGAAGACGGTTGGCGAGGGTTTTTGGAATTTGGTGAAATGCTATAAATTCTTTAATACTTTGTACATTTTCGTGATATTCATCGGAGCCTTGATACAACCTCAACATAATGGAAGAAACGTTACCAAATATAGCAGCACTCAACAGAGCTGAAAACACAAACCGAAACAGATTTAAAACACATCATAATCAGACTATGTTAGTATTCCTTGCCCTTAAAAGTCGTTTATTTTCAATTATATCATTGGAAAAAAGGCAGAAAACCTATTTGTATAATGTGTCTATTCCAGTTTGTCTACATTTAAATTGCGGTAATTAACACATTATAAAAAACACAATGGTTCAGTTCAGCTAATTGGTTTTACTGACTGAAAACGATATCTTTTTCGCCTACAAATTCATAACAATAGAAATGGGTTATCGCGAGGTTAATATTTGGATATTCATGTCATTAATTTTAAGCGAAAAATATTAATGACTTATGTTAATGTTTTAAATTTCCAAAGAGTTATATGAAGCTTAATATTTGCATAGATCTATTTCAATTTATTAGCCGTTTACTATTAAATTTTTCTTCCACTTTCGCAGATTGAACTAATCTTGCGGGTTCCAAAACTTTCAACAAAACCACTGAAGACTGTCGTTAATTTCAGTGTTTCATAATCGAAAGGGGACAAGTAGTCCTATTTTATTTATAAAAAGTGTTATGTATAGCGGAAATTACTCTCTATCACTTTGTAAACAAATAAAATATATCTCAATGTTATAAAGGGACAGATGCCATTTTTTTGAACAATCATACCTTAATCTCAGAAACGGGAATATTTTAGCTAAGCCAATCAGAAAGTGTTCATAGCTCACCGTCAAAGTATGAGCCTTCGTCTTTTCTTGAAACACTGCCACAGATAGAAGACATCTATAGGAAAAGAATTTCTTGGTTTGAGATGTTTTTGAAGGAATTATGCGATTTTCGTACATTTCTAGTACTTCTGAAGACTATTTACATGCATACAAGACTCAACACAACCTCCCAAAATGGCATTTGTCCCTTTAACATATTCTTTACGCCGTTAAACGACATCGAGCACAGATTTAAGATGTTTTCAGCAAAAACCCGTGACGAGTAAGTTGACATCGTGCATTAATTTGGTTGTAAAATAACACGTTTAAGGTAATTTCGACAAATCATGTTACACTTGATCGATGATGGAGCATGATAATTATTTCAATGTTACGACTTATATTAAATTAAATCACTCAGAAGAAGAATATTGCTTCCACATCAAATAAAATCAGGGTGGAAGGTTCAAATTGTCGTTCATATTCACTGCTCTCTAATTGTACTTTATTAAGTTATTAAATCATCAAAGACAAATTATACATTAACATGCATAATAAAGACATTCTGTGTACACTCTACAGGTTCTATTGATATAATCGACGTTAAAATAGAAAATTTGTATAAGTTTCATAAATAGATATTGAATTGCGCAATGCTAGCTGCAGGCTAGGCTAGATTTTTGTTCTATGAATGATGTTGCTATATTAGAAGGGTTTATGTGTTATATTCAGTCCTTTATCCTACACAACCAATGCAGATACATTGTTACTATTTTTACCAAGCGGAAAGGATCGAGCAAATCGAACAGAAATAACCGAAGTACTACTACCACTACTGACACAAACATATCTGTTAACGATTTTAACGCACGAATTTGTTAAAATAAAGTTGACAAAATAATTTTCTTGAATCGCATAAAAATCAAAGTGAAATAATATTTGAGCAAAAACACTCTGCATTATTATTGATGCAAACTAACGATGGACAAACTTAATTGAGCTCCAATCTACATGTATGCAACATCAAGTTAGGCATCTTCAGGTGTCAATTATCGAAATCGCGCTTTGTAACTACCAAGAAAATTGGCAAAAAGCAAATACTGACTGTCAAAATGAATGAAAAGTTGTGAATATGCGAACAATGTATATTTTTTTCTCGCACAAAGAAATCATTATCCTTGAATCGATTTGATTTCCTGAAATATCTGGTCGATACCAAAAATTCATACCATAACGTTCAAGTGTTTTAGAAAAAAAAAATAGATTCCTTGGCAATAATTAACTAGCAAAAACATCGAAAAATGACATATTACGTTCTAATTAACTCTTTAAGAACACAATACACCATGAAGTGATCACATCAGGCCACGACTACCTAAGTCAGTATTCAACCTTTCAGATCGCGAGTAATTTCCTAAGGAAATTGAACACGGCAATGATGTGAAGATGGCCACGGGAAATTAGAAACTCAGTGTCAGGCTTTGAATGAATTGAAATGAGAGATCATTCGGATTCCTATTATCAATATAAATCTTAAAACGGAATTGCGTTTTCTATTAAAGCCTTAACAGATAGGAAGCCATTTTCGTGTAAAGTTGCAGAAAGCAAAGCTAAAAGGAAACATAATGAAAAGTGAAACATTAGAAGGATAATCTTGTTCGCTTTACGCAAAGATCTTGTCGGGATTCCAAATGAAAGATTATTCCTAATGTATCTTTATCGCTTTCCTCGAAATCATTGTTTACGATTGATCAACATTGCTGAACATACTGAAAAATAAGGGGTTTTTTTTCTACCCACAAAAGCTTTTAATTTCATGCAAAGTTGTATTTTTTTTAATGAAATGTTATCGCACAATTATGCAAGACTCTTGAAGTGTGATTTGTGTAAAAGTTAATCTCAATAAGATTCTATTAAGATTATATCTATTCTTCAAATGAATTCTTCATTCTTCAAACGCTTCAGTATACAGTTATACTGATTTCATATCTAAGTATAGCTCTTTTGGATTGTTACAAATTAACCGAAGGGTTGATATTTATATTCTGTAGACTCGACCAACTCAGCAATTTCAAACCAACATGAAAACGAAAGGATGTCTATGTCATCAACCTTTCAGAAAATCGAACGAAGCATATTATTCATGCCAGTTATGTTGTTTAAACCATTCGGAATATTGGAACCCCAATATAGTATATTTATATACAATTTGGGTTCAAAGTACGGACCCGAAGAGCACCAAGAAAGGCATTAAACATTAAGAAAAAGGAAAAGCTTTTAACAACATCATAACCGGATGTACTCAAGTAAAATTTGGGTTCAAAGTACGGACCCGAAAAGCACCAAGAAAGGCATCAAGCATTAAGAAAAGATAAAAGCTTTTATCGAATGTATCGTGTACGGATAATTAGACAGTGTTTTATAATAACAGGGTGGGTTTAGACTTGTAAATACGGTATAATAATAGATAATTGGTAGTGTAATTTGTTGTATACGACATTCTCTATCATTATCCTGTCATTAAACACAGCATCTTACACTATTCTAATAGCGTGACTAAATATTGACTAAACAATGCCACTTTATTCCAATTAATGCCAATTTTTCTGTTTAGTTCCAGCCTTTGATGAAGTTTTAATGCCAATGGACGTTACATTGTTCATTCAACCCAATGTATTTCTTAAAGAGGAACGTTATACAATCATACGGTCACCTGTATATCGCCGCGTTGGATGGTTAAATGAAATGAAATGAAATGAAAACTTTTCTGCACCATGTGGGCTAATGAAGACGGGCAACGCCATGCAGGGTGCAATGAGGGAAATTTTGCCAGGACAGCGGCATTAGCCTGCTCTTTTTCGATTTACAACTGTCGAGGGATCTTTAACGTGCACAGCCTGTAGCACACGGGGCCTCGGTTTATTGTCCCATCCGAACGACTAGATGCTTTTTCCATGTCAGCCCCTCGTACCTGCATCACTGACAGGGGGAAACCGGGTTGAAAAATCCGAAGGTATTATCTCGACCTATGCCGGGATTGAACCCTGGTCCTTCAGGTTAGCGTCTAACTCACTGAGCCACCGCGGCTCCCGTTGGATGGTTAAAGTTTTTACCAACGGGTCGAAATCCGCCGATAAACCTGATCAAATTAAGTTGATATCATGAAACCATTTTTTATCACTGTTAATTTTTCTGAAAACTGTCGACTGTCACTTTAAGCACTTTAATTATGGCCTGAATAAATATTTAATGAATAAGTCAGAAACTTTGACCTCGGAATTCATTCATAAAAGAATCATGAAAGTAAAAATTAACGGCTTCAATACACATTGTTTCGATTCACTCATGGACCTATCATGGTATATTTAACGGTATGATCTGTTTCGATTCACTCATGGACCTATCATGGTATATTTAACGGTATGATCTGTCTAGTGTTAACAGCGAAATACTGTTAATTGTGCATTTTCTGTTTTGAGGCTTTGTCTCAATTATGGACCATTGTATGCACCATTCTTATTGAGCCATATTTTGCCAGTAATTCCTTTTGGGCCATATTTGCAATTGAACGTTCAGATGGTCATATTTTGAATTGAGCGTTCAGCCATATTTTGACGGTATTGTGGCAGCATCAGATATATATGAGATTGCTGCTGTGAAGATTTTCTAAGATTTGATAGTGTTTGTCAGTGGTCTCTAGTTGTTTTATAAAATACGATGGGCATCTAAAAATGTGAAGCAATGATTGGCAATGAAAGACACTCTACTTTTTGTAAAGTAGAGCACAATTCTTAATGTCATGCCAACTCCAACACATTTGAAAATCGTTTGAGGAAAACATGGAACAAGAGCAGTTCTTGAAACATTCTGTAATCACCTCAAGTGCAATACATCAGTTTCAAGTAGCAAAATTTAGAGAATCTTTCAATTTCTGTCGTGTAATAAGACCAATTTATTTCAAGATGGTAGTAATTGTGTTAGGCTAAAGACAATTTCAACGTCTTTATCACCCATATGAACTATATTTTGATATCTAACATGTCATTTTAAGGACTTCAATTACATGGTCGAAGTCAGAAATGAAACTTTTGATCGACGAAAAATCTTTAAAATTAGCATTATTAGCAATCTGATTAAAGAGCGAGTCTTCTAACTTCCCCTTTTACCCGTAGTCTACAATCAATTTTAACTAGCAATGACATTTGGAGATATAAAAATCTTTCTTCCGTTCAGTTCTCTTATCAAAATCATCATCGGTTTTTGTTACCAATCAATACATTTACTTGATTACTATTTGCTTTTTATATACGATACATTTGAATTATTTCTTTTATTGTGTTTCCGAGAATATTTTTGTAATTTTATAAACACTTTACTGCACACGGAAATAAGTTATTACCTCGAAAAAACTATCCATTTGCAATACTAAGTTTTCGCAACGTTAACGTTCGTTTTGTAAAAAGTCAGATCACGACAATGTAATGGCAACACTAGGGATGTAAGGGATGTAAATGTAAAGCGCATCGTGGCCTCATATGTACACAATGTTTACTCGATAGTCTCTGCTGTTAGCTTTCTTAAATGTGTAACTGCCACTCGTTATTGATTGAAAACCAATGTTATGCACTGACGCAGTATTTTTTATCAATGCCAAAGCATTGCTCTTGCATTCCAACAAAAACGTTTTCAACATTAATCTCGACATAACCAGGTTTTCATTCGACTGAAAGCCAATGCACACTTTCTGACATAAAAGCATAAACATTTGGCAATTCTTTACAAAAGGCAGAGAGAGTCGAGGTATACTTACATCCTAACATCATAGCAAATATAGAAAATATCTTCTCAGCATTCGTATTGGGTGCCACATTACCAAAACCTATACTGGTTAAACTTGTAAATGTGAAATATAATGCAGTTATATATTTTGACCTTATCGTAGGTCCACTTGTAGTGTCATTGGGAAAATATGGTCTTTTAGTTGTGTCAGCAAGACCATCTAACCAACTGATCCTAGCATGAAGATCAGCTCGTTCCATATTAGCTATAGCATAAAATATACAGGCTAGCCAATGTCCTATAAGTGTAAAAGTCACCATTAACAGCAGTAAGACAGCCACACCATATTGGGCAAATTGTTCAATTCTTCTAATAACACGTAATAAACGCAATAATCTGGCTGTTTTTAAAACACCGGTCACCGTCATTGTCTAAAATAGAAAAACAAAACATCCCAGTAAGTATTTGAAAAAATTAATAAGGTGAAAAGAAAAATGCCTTATGTGTCCTATTACTGTTGAAATATCTGATATAAGTTCTTAACCACTGGTTCTCGCTGTTTTGTTCCCTGACCTGTTTTATGTTATCCCCTGTACCACAAGATTGATGTCAAGCAGTATGGTTTATAGAGGACTCTGTAACTGATACTTCCCAATACCCCAATTTTATATTCACTAAAATGTTGTCACTATCCAGTTTGAATCACTTGCTGCTGGCAACATAAAAAGAAGATTCTCGACCATGTTCTCAGTAGCCTAAAGATTTTAGAGTCTAGTTTCTCAAAAGAAACGGGAACCCTGCCTTGCTTAAAATCGAAACAAATCCAAAAACGTGTTTATCTCGCCAAAGAGAAATGGAGCTCATTCTGGTGATCAGACAGATGATGAGTTATTATCACAGAAGAAAATTCTTCACACTTTTTTTTCATTTATGAAGATGGATATGTTTCGATTTGAAGCGAGTATAAAAATCACTAGGGTAGAAGTAATTGATAGTTTAGTTTGTTTGTGCTCCAGTAGACAAGACATCATCTAACTAATGTCAATCACCTATTTAACAAATTGATTTTACCTAATAAATCAAGCCAATCTTGACATGTTTGTTATGCAACTTAATCCATTTCATTTTCTTCAAATAACAAAATTGAAAACTTTGGCTCGATTCAACAACTTGAGTTAATAAATCAACCGAAGAAAAATCTTGTAAAAAGCCAGATGTTGACAACCGACCCAAAAGACTTGGCTTCGAATGAGGAAAGAGATTTTAATCCAATAAGATTTCCAATTCTTTAAAACCACAAAAAATATAGCATCTATTTCAAGTCCACTTATCACAATTTCGGAAATTGATTTCCATCTTGAAATTCGTGTTCCATACGTTTTTAGCATTCATCATGGAACCTCCATATGAGAGTATTTGATTTACCCTTGAGTTTTATTTAGCTGAAGTAGTCTGTAGAGAATGAATGAGAATTCCCATTGTATTTAGTTAATATTGTTTTATTATTCAAGCTGAATTCCTATTGAATTGATGATGATGTATTCAAATGTTCTCAACTTAAGTATTTATGTCTATCAGTACATGAAAACTTGGGTTGGGGCTGGAATTGACATAGATACATGATATAGATACTGAACCATTAACGAGTCCATCTAGACATCGCCGGGCATATATTACAATATGCCTGTGTCCCAGAAGGTACCAAAATACAGTCGAGGGGTCACTTAACTTACGGAGTTGTACGAAGTATGGAAAACCCTGCCCCTTGGTTGTTTTATATTACCATGTGGGGCACAGGGATATTGTAATATTTATCAGGCAATTTCTTAATGGCCTCTTTAATGGTTCAGCTTTGTATATATACCAAAATTTATGCGAAAGTTCTCAAAAACTCTATTATCACGTCTAAGGAACGAGTAGGGCCAGATTTGTCAGGTTTACAAATTATATAGTCCGATCGTATTCTTATCAAATCAAAAGCCATCCACATTACAAAACCTCCCAATAGATTGTAATATAATAGAAAATAAAATAAACAATTTAATTTAATTTAAATTTAATGATAATAGGTCTGAACAGATCGATATTGAAATCGAAAAGATTTAACGATAGGCGCCATACTTTATTTCACCTTATCAATCACTTTAGAACAAGTAATACCCCAAGGAGTTGCTACCATATCAAGTCTATTGATAATGTCTGTATAAAATTAACCCGGGTTTTCGAGTGATTTGTGGAAAAAATCAATTTCTATTCAAGTTGATAGTGTATAGGGAAAACTGATGTTTCAATCTGTTTCTTTTTTAATTGACATTTCACTTTTAACATGAAGTTTCTTCCTTTTATACTTAAAATCACTCTGATTTACTGGCATAGCTTCACATGTACAATCCCCTTAGTAAATGTCCGAAGGTGAAAAGAGACGAGGTGCGGTGTCAGATGCGTTGTACGGTGCGGGATTATCGATATATTCAGCACTCTCCTTTTTGTTCCTTCAGTTCGGTGCCAAATGTACCAATTGTTATTTCTGAAACTTTATGGCCTATGAGTCCAATCTCTTTTTGACAGACACCATATTATGTGAAAAAAAAATTCTATTCCGCAAATTTTTTTACAAATTTGTAATTTGAGAAATTTTAGTCATTTTAAAGTTTAATCAGGCAATTTTTATCTTTTAACACCATAACTTTCAAGCTACTTTATTAGTTACAAAATAAAACTTGTTAATTTTGTAGTGGAATTACATTTGAATACTATGAAAGTTTTTGAAATTATTCAGAATAAGCTCTTCAATATCACAAACCTATACATTATTTGATATTACAATTATTTTAAAGCCAGACAGATTGGATTGTGTTGGCGTTGAGCATGAAGGAATATCAGAGTGAAAAACGAGAACTGGAGACAGTGAAACTATGAAAAAAGAATGATTACTTACGTCACTGGTTCCTGAACCAAACAGTAGTAAATCAAATGGTATAGCAGCGATGGCGTCAATAACAAACCACCCTTTAACATACTGAATGGCGATTTTTTGTTGATCACTAACAACTTCACCATTTTGAATGTATGTAGTTCGAAAATTGATTAAAATATCAGCTATGAACATTATATCCACTATTAAATCTACTATTACCAAAGGGTCTGCCATAGTTTTATCGGCATTCTGATTTCTAGTAGCAGCATCGCGGTTCAGTTTCATGCGAATTTCATCTTCGTTCAGAAGAAAAGCAGCAGAATACGGTGTTAATACTGCCGTATATAATACTAATAATAATATAATCCAATCCCAAACAGCTTTAAACGGAGAATAATGTAGAATGATAAATTTCTGTTGTCCACCACGGTTTTTAAACATGTCTGGGTCTGGTTCTGGTGAACTGGTTAATTCATCAGTATCTTTATCATCACTTTTACCAGATATCTAAAAAAAATACAAAATAGATCTTCATCATTTTGAATAGATGGATAGATAGAAAGATATAAACATAGATTGATAGATAGAGAAATAGATAGATTGATACATAGATGGATGCAAACTTAGCCATTACTGAAACCTATTTACTAGGAGTAAAATAGTAAAATTTGTTAATCTTATGTTTCAACAAACATCTCAATTAAAACTGTTGGATTATGAAGTTTAAACGAAAAATAAAGCTACTATCAGAATGTCGGATTTCATCAATGGTATCGTTCGGACAGATAGATGAAGTACCACAGGTTTGAATCCCTTTCAAAATAAGTTTAAAGACAAATTGTTACGGGATCAAACGCATCTCATATTGAACAGAATAACCTTTTTAACCTCTGAGAATGCATTTTTTTACTCAGGCTACCATTTCTCCTCTTTCGTACAAACCTTTGAGACAGTGCTAACCAAATCTAGATAAGAACAAACTACATTTCTAGACACAAGTTGTTAATTCATAAAAAGGAAATAAAAATCTTTCTGAGTTTCTATCAGTTGTTCAAAATTAGGACTACTTATTTTCCGAAAAGTAACCTTTCTGGAATCGTCAGCACCTAAGACCGCAGTTATCATCCATTCCACAAGAAAGAACAAATTGTTACGAACTTGCACAATACACATAATCACAAGACTTTAGCAATGAGGACATAAGGATCTATGAAAAGGACGTAAAGGCCTCCTCATCCATTCCAAACCTCAAGACAGCACTGTTACCAAACCAAAAATGAATAATGAACTGATATGTTTAAAGACGATATAAGCCCTATGCAACCTCCGTTCCACAAGATTAACACAATCTCTTAAATGTCATAGCCATATTTAGCAATAAGCTGCAGATTAGGAGAAAATCTGCGTGATTATGGATGCTCTGTACAGGTTATTCTTTGAAGAGACGGTGTAATTAATAAGATCTCAAAGTAAACACATTCATGATTTACCGTCATCTTTACAAGAAACCAGAAATCAGATTAAGTTGACTTGTTCACACCTGCATTGTTATTAGCTGCATTGTTATCAATACCTTTGACGTTACCCAGACATTATGACAGTGTGTAGATTTAATTACATTTATTGTCAAACAAAATGGGATGTGGCCAAATAAGGATTTAGAATTCACAGATGTGTTATGTAGTTTTGATATTACTAACTACTAGATTCTACATATGTGTTATGTACTGTCAGTATTACTAACTGCTAGATTCTACAGATGTGTTATATACTGTCAGTATACCTACTAATAGATTCTACTGATGTGTTATATACTGTCAGTATTACTTACTACAAGATTCAATAGATGTGTTATATACTGTCAGTATTACTTACAATTAGATTCTACAGATGTGTTATATACTGTCAGTATTACTTACTACTAGATTCTACAGATGTGTTATATACTGTCAGTATTACTTACTACTAGATTCTACAGATGTGTTATGTACTGTTAGTATAACTAACTACTAGATTCTACAGATGTGTTATATACTGTCAGTTTTATTTACTACCAGATTCTACAGATGTGTTATATACTGTCAGTATTACTTACTACTAGATTCTACAGATGTGTTATATACTGTCAGTATTACTTACTACTAGATTCTACAGATGTGTTATATACCGTTAGTATTACTTACTACTAGATTCTACAAATGTGTTATATACTGTATGTATTACTTACTACTAGATTCTACAGATGTGTTATACACTGTCAATATTACTTACTACTAGATTCTACAGATGTGTTATATACTGTCAGTATTACTTACTACTAGATTCTACAGATGTGTTATATACTGTATGTATTACTTACTACTAGATTCTACAGATGTGTTATATACTGCCGATATTACCAACTAGTAGATTCTACAGATGTGTTAAATACTGTCAGTATTACCTACTACTAGATTCTACAGATGTGTTATATACTGCCGATATTACCAACTAGTAGATTCTACAGATGTGTTATATACTGTATGTATTACTTACTACTAGATTCTACAGATGGGTTATATACTGTCAGTATTACTTACTACTAGATTCTACAGATGTGTTATATACTGTCAGTATTACTAACTGCTAGATTCAGTAGATGTGTTATGTACTGTTAGTATAACTAACTACTAGATTCTACAGATGTGTTATGTGCTATCAGTATTACTAACTATTAGATTCTACAGATGTGTTGTGTGCTGTCAGTATAACTAACTACTAGATTCAGTAGATGTGTTATGTGCTGTATGTATTACTTACTACTAGATTCAGTAGATGTGTTATATACTGTCAGTATTACTAACTACTAGATTCAGTAGATGTGTTATGTGCTGCAAATATTACTCACTACTAGATTCTGCAGATGTGTTATGTGCTGTCAGTATTACTTACTACTAGATTCTACAGATGTGTTATATACTGTCAGTATTACTAACTACTGTAGATGTGTTATGTGCTGTCAGTATTACTTACTACTAGATTCTGCAGATGTGTTATATACTGTCAGTATTACTAACTACTGCAGATGTGTTATGTGCTGTCAGTATTACTTACTACTAGATTCTGCAGATGTGTTATATACTGTCAGTATTACTAACTACTAGATTCTACAGATGTGTTATGTGCTGTCAGTATTACTTACTACTAGATTCTGCAGATGTGTTATGTGCTGTCAGTAGTACTAACTACTAGATTCTGCAGATGTGTTATGTGCTGTCAGTATTACTAACTACTAGATTCTGCAGATGTGTTATGTGCTGTCAGTATTGCTAACTACTAGATTCAGTGAATGCGTTATGTACTGTCAGTATAACTAACTACTAGATTCTACAGATGTGTTATGTGCTGTCAGTAATACCAATTACTAGATTCCACAGATGTGTTAATTATTACACAAACTGTTACTTTGTTAAAGTGTTCAAGCTCCGAAATATAAATAATGACAAAGCAAAAATGTTATGAACGTTGACACGTAAATATTAAATTTTACAATACCTTCAATTAAAAATGAAACTAATCTAATGTAAGCCGAACAGATTCACACGAAATGTAGCCAAGCAAATGTCGGAATTTCTTGACTTATTTAACTTTTATAAGACGAGTGGATAATGGATGTGTAATTTATACGATAATATATCAATATAAGTTAACACCACATTCCTCTTGTACAAACTCTTTATATTACAGTAACTCTATCTCCATCCAGTCAAATAACCGGAATGAAACAACATTAAATTGATTTAGGATAATGGACTCTATTTAAACTTTAAAGATAGACTCTAAACAATCATCTCTGCCATTTTTAGAATTCAATTGTTTAACAGTCAGGTATCAAAGAACCACACAAATAATCCATTTTTTCTGTTATTTTAGAAACAAATCGATGATGAAAAATAAAGATACCGAAACCTTTTCCAATTTACTTCAAGGAAGAAAAAGAATTGAGAACAGACGTTGAAATGTTTTCTCTAAAAGCATGATTTTCTGAAAATAAATATTATTTTTTGTCATACATTGTCGTTTCTTTTTATTACGTCGATAATATAGGTTTTCTGTTGTTCAGAGCTCAATATAATAGAATACTCAATAAGATTAGCCAAGGGTGATAACTCACATCAATATAATTATAGCAATACGTTTATATACTATATTGAGATACTCGTGACGTCTCTATTTCCGAAATGGCTGGTTGGTTTACTATCTAAACATCAGATATAATTGTAAAGTAGGGATTTCGAAGAATTGCATGGACAAAAATAAAATGATTATTTTCAAAGATTTTCGAAAAGAAATATTTGGCAAACTGAAGACAACCTGCTTTTAAAGACAGATTTATTTTGACATTTCCTTCAAAAATAGAGGTTATATTATACTAGGAATTCGAAATATATTAATATGGACAGTTTTTACTCAGTAATTAAATTTAGACACGACTGTTTTTGATTTCAAACCTCTAGTGATTCGCCAGCATGTCAAGTTGAACCTTGGCAACCACTGATCATGGAAAATAAATTGACATTGTTACAATTTGATAGCAAGCACAAGTCGTGCACGTATGATTTTTATTGTTTTATCATAAAAAGGAAATTAATAAAATACGAAAAAACAACGCTTCTAACACAAAAATCTAAACTTTCGTCCTTCTGAATTGACGCCCACAAGGCATAAATTCTTATTTCCGTATAGCAAATAAATCTGCACAGTTAGCCAATTACAAGAGCTTTCTGCAATATTTGTTTTAATAAATGTTTATATATCTTATTGATAACCATACAGATAGAAACACATATAATTGTTATTAACGACCAATTTGCCACAATCACTATATCTTCTGGATCTCTATCTTTGTTTCTTGTGTTTCCACATGCCATCCATGGTCTGCCAAATTTGTTATGAAGCTCGTGTTCTGGGTCATTTTATATTTAACAGTTTTCCTTACTCGTAAAAAGCAAATTCAAACATTGTCTGAAAAGACCCCACCCCACCGCTACCATTCCTATTGTAAAAAATCTGATCTAAACATTGCTTGATCCATGTAATTGTTATGTGAAAGAATAAACTTACTTTGTCTCCTGTACATTAACTCCAAATAATAAGCATAAAAATAGATTATAGTAACAATTGTGTTTTTCAGGCAACGATCATGTTAAGCGAAAGGCACTCGCTTATCAATGCAGTAGTCTAGTGGTCATTAAGCATATCGTATAGATATAGCCACCATTCTCAATGGTGTTTGAAGATAATAGAAGGAGAGAAAGAGAGTTTCTATGTAATGTATTGTTTAATGATTCCTAGATTAATGGAACAGACAAAAAGAACAGTAGAATCTACTCTTAACTTGCCAACCTACTACAAGCCATTATAAAAGATTTCCA